TGTCAGGTTGACATAAAACTAATCAGCTCAGATTGTCTGGGACTCTTCTTTGTACTTTGCACCTCTGAGAAGCGCTTACAGCAGCCCTTATTGTTTACTCTTAGGAAGGAGAGGCCTAGGTGAACTGGCCTCTGGTCAGTTTCAGGAACTTCCTGAAGCTATTTTGAGTGGTTTGCTCTCTGTTTTAAGGAGCTTCCCTGGGGAATGGAAAGTTTCAAACCTCAGAAAGCTGCTACACAACAATGACAAACCTTACTTCTACATAGAACTATAATGTCAAATATTAAAACAAACAAACAAACAAAAAACAGATACTCTATAACTCTGCCAGAGAATCCAAGTTACATTCCCAGGAGGACCTGTGCTGTGTGGCTCACAACTGCCTGTAAAACTGATGCTAGCACCAGGAAAACTGATGTTCTCTTCTCCCTGTGCAGCACCTGCAAACAAATGCACATAATTCCTTCAACAGACATGCATATACATAATTAAAAATCTTTAAAACATAAAGATAAAAGACTTTTTAAGTACACAATTCAAAAAAGGTAACTGATGAGAATAATGGCAGATTAAACATCTCAGAAGAAAATACAAGTAACTTTAAGAACATAACAGAATATACAATGAAACATGGGGAGAAAAAAATGAAAAAAATGAATAGCGCACAAATGAGCTATAGAGCAAACTTGATAATCCTAAGAGATATGCAATCAAAAGAGCAGGGAATGAGGAATGCAAAGAGAAAAAAATTACTTGATGAAACAGTGGGGAAAATTCAAATTTGATGAAAATTGTAAACTTGTATGCAGATGCTCCTGAGCTGGAGATGGAGTTGCACCCTGATGAAGCTGTCCTGGTTGGAAATGGATTTAGGGCACCAAATATCACAGCTTAGCAACCCAGCTCAAGAGGCCGCATGGGTAACTGGCGCTGTGATAGCGTGGCTCAGTGTGAGCAGTATTTTGGCAGTGTGTCTGTTAGCCAAGGAAAAGATCTAAGTTTAATATTTAAACTAAAGCTTCTGCCAAATGTATATTGATTTTGCATCACTGTAAAATGGAAAAAGTCCCAATTTAATCCTTAAAAATCAAAGACTGTTACCCATGAGGGGTCTCCGTGTGAGAAGACAGTGCAGAAGGAGGAAGGGAGAACAAGAGAGACAGTAACCTCTCATGTTACCACATGTGGAATCCAGATTTAAATACAGACATTACTGTATAAGAAGACTGTTCTGAGGATCACAATGAGGGTAGGGGAATGAAAGAAGACAGCAGATGGGTAAATATGCACAAACTAAAATGATATATACATGCTCTTGGGAAAGCTCTTTGGTATGTTGAAAAGCTAAACATACACCAGCAGACACATCCGTTGCTTGGTTAGGTATTTACCCTAAACAACATAAACTATATAGCCATACAAAATGTGATCACGAATATTCATAGGTGCCTTTTTTTGTAATGGTCCAAATCTGAAAATGACCTACTCACTGAAATGTGAATGGACAGCCACACAATGCACTGAAAATGGATGAGCCAAAACACACAACAGCATGATAAAGCACAAAGTGGCAGCAGCCAAATAAAAGAGAGCAGACTACTTCTAGTAAATGCATGAACACATATAACCTACAAAAACAGAATGGAAAAGAGAGAGAGAGAGAGAGAAACCATGAGAACTGAAATTGAGATGATAATTAAGAATCCCCATCTAAAAGATTTTTAGACAAAAACCCTGGGACCTGTTGACTTTACCATTGTTTACTAGTGTTTAAAGAACTAATTCCAATTTTAAAAATTGAAATGAAAGTAACTCCACTAAATGTATTCTTTGGAAGGCTAGCATCCCCCCTGAAACAAAAGCACACAAAAGCAGGTGCTTCCCTGCCATCTTGGCACTTGGAGGCAGAGACAGGAACTCTCCTGTGAACTCAAGGTCATCCTCCACCACAGAGGCAGTAGGAGAACAGGCTGGGCCACATGCGAGCCTGTCTCAAAATAGAAATAAATATTTTAAATCTTTAACTGTAGACCCAAAAATGACAAGAAGGGACATAAAAATCCTCAACAAAATACTAGCAGGAAACTGACCTGAGCGGCACATTTAAAAAGACCATGTCTCATAGCTTTACAATGTTTTTATTTTTATTTTTAAAATTTATTTTTATATTAATTACAGTTTATTCACTTTGTATCCCAGCATAGCCCCTTCCCTCATCCCCTCCCAATCCCACTCTACCTCCCTCATCTCCTTCCATGCCCCTCCCCAAGATCACTGATTGAGGAGGTCCTCCTCCCCTTCCATCTGACCCTAGCCTATCAGGTCTCATCAGGCAGGACTGGCTGCATTGTCTTCCCCTGTGGCCTGATAAGGCTGTTTCCCCTTCAGAGGGAGGTGATCAAAGAGCCAGCCACTGAGGTCATGTCAGAGACATCCCCTAAGCCCCATGTTAGGGAACCCACTTGGACACTGAGCTGCCATGGGCTATTTCTGTGCGGGGGTTCTAGGTTATCTCCATTAATGGTCCTTGGTTGGAGTATCAGTTTCAGAAAAGACCCCTGGGCCCAGATACTTTGGTTCTGTTGCTCTCCTTGTAGAGCTCCTGTTCTCTCCAGGTCTTCTATCTCCTACTTCTTTCATAAGATTCCCTGCACTCTGCCCAAACTTTGACTATGAGTCTCAGCATCTGCTTTGATACACTGCTGGGCAGAGTCTTTCAGCATCCCTCTGTAGTAGGCTCCTGTCCTGTTTCCTGTTTTCTCCCTCTTCTGATGTCCATTCAGTTCACTTTTCTGAATGAGGATTGATCATCTTACCCAAGGTCCTCCTTCTAAGCTTACAATCTTTAGGTGTACAGATTTTAGTATGATTATTCTATTTTATATGTCAAATATCCACTTATAAGTGAATATATTCCATGTATGTCTTTCTGCTTCTGGGATACCTCACTCAGGATGATCTTTTCTAGTTCAAACCATTTGCCTGCAAATTTCACCATTTCCTTGTTTTTAATTCCATTGTGTAAATGTACCAAAATTTCTGTATCCATTCCTCCATTGAGGGACATCTGAGTTGTTTGCAGATTCTGGCTATTATGAATAAAGCTAAGAACATGGTTGAGCAAACATCCTTGTGTACTTGAGCATATTTTGGATACATGCCTAGGAGTGGTATAGCTGGACCTTGAGGTAGCACTATTCCTAATTTTCTGAGAAAGTGCCAGATTGATTTCCAGAGTGGTTGTACAAGTTTACATTCCCACCAGCAGTGAACGAGGGTTCCCCTTTCTCTACATCCTCCCCAGCGTGTGTTGTCACTTGAGTTTTTGATCTTAGCTATTTTGATGGGTGTAAGGTAAAATCTTAGGGTCATTTTGATTTGCATTTCCCTGATGACTAAGGACATTGAGCATTTCTTTAAGTGTTTCTCTGCCATTCCATATTCCTCTATTGAGAATTTTGTTTAGCCCTGTACCCCATTTTTTTAATTGGATTGATTTGTTGCTTTTTAATTTCTTGAGTTTTTTATATATTCTGGATATTAGCCTTCTGTCAGATATAAGGTTGGTGAAGATCCTTTCCTAGTCTGTGGGCTGTCATTTTGTCCTATGACTGTGTCCTTTGCTTTACAGAAAGCTTTTCAGTTTCATGAGGTCCCATTTATTGTTGATCTTAGAGCCTGTGCCTTTACCATGTTTTCAAATCACCTATTGCATGCCTTGTTGTATGCTGAGGACCTGGTAGAGATGGTCCATGCTGCAGCAGCTGCCATCTTTGCTGACAATTGAACCAGTTTCTTCAGCCCTCCAGCATGGACTGAACACCAGCAACTCTCCAAGAATTTTCCATTGGGAGGGCTAGGGCATTCAGCTTCTTGGATTGGGTTCTCCATCAATCACCTCCCATCCCCAGCAGAGCCATGGCTGTATACACCAATCTACTACACTCCTTTTTATAACATATGATCATTCTACTGTTTCTTTTTTACTAGAGTCCTCAGACTGATATAATGATTCTTGGCAAAACAAGGTCAGAAGCACACAAAGCTGACTTGAGAACATACTACAAAGCTATACTCAACAGCATAGCATGATACTGCATAGAAGTATACACAGACCAGTGCAGTGAAGTACAGATTTCTTTACAACCTATTACATACTGTCAAGTTACCGTAATGTACCCCATAAAGATGTATTTATTTTTATACATAAGAAATTACCTCCATCTTGGCAGAAATCATGAAGACATGGTCAGCTTGAACCCTCATCTATTGTGTTTTTTTCTTACATTGCTCTGGCTTTAGGTTTCTTCTTTTCACACTGGCATTCCTCCATTGCTCCATTTTCTAAAATCAAAGGTGTGAAGCAAAGAGAGGCCTGCTTCCAGGTCTGTACCATTAGAGACTGAAACAAATGGGGCTGTTTCCATGTACAGGGTAAGGAAGAAAGGGAGGCCAGAGAAGAGTGTGCAGAGCATTCGGAGACTTGAGAGAAACATATACAAAGTAGGAGAGTGTCCTCACACCGAAGAGAGTCAGAAATACTGTTCAAATCAAACTGCTTTACCCTGCTACTGGTAATGGTATAGACACCACAGAACTTAAATGTGATTTCTAGCGCCATCTACTGAGAAGCATGGGAACCAGCTAAGACTGGACTTGGGAAGGAAGAAGTCAGGGACCAGTGAGTTCAATCTTCAGTCACTTTAAGGAGGCAGCTTCTCTTGAGGCTGGATCCTTTTCTGCCTGTCCTAATAAGGATCAAAGAGACTCCTAGGAGGTGATCAAAACATTCTCTATGCTACCTCATGATCATATGGTTCCAGGTGCTGTCCAAGTAAGTTATCAGTTGCCCTACTATCTCCTCAGGAGCTGAAGTCTTCCCTTTACATATTTTTAACATAATGGCATGGGAGAGCTTTTCAAAAACAAAACAAAACAAAAAAAGAAACATAAACAAAAAATACGTAATAAAAAAAGGAGAAACTCAACTTACCAATCCTATTTTTTTTTATTGATGATTTAACAAATATGTAAGAACCAATCAGCAAGGTGCTACCAGAGAGAAACTGGACTAACAGCAGTTTGCTAGAAGCCTAACTCTCTAGTAAGCAAACTGGGATATGCAGTCACACTGGGACAGGGAGCTTCACAGAGGAAACCACTATCTACAATACGCTCCACTCTGCTTGTGTCCTTAGCTGACTCAAAGGACATCTACTTGGGGTAAAACTGAGAACTTGGCTAGCAAGAGACAGGAACATTCACCAATTACCAAGTGTTAGCTGAACTTGGCTGAACTAAGCTGCTATCTTGGTTAGGATTTCTACTGCTGCAGCAAAATACCCTGACCAAAAATCAAGTTGGGGAGGAAAGGGTTTTAGTCAGTTTAAATTTTCACATTGCTGTTCACCACCAAAGGAAGTCAGGACAGGAACTCAAACAGGGCAGGAACTTGGAGATAGGAACTGATGTAGAGGCCTTGAAGGGGTGCTGCTTACTGGCTTGCTCAGCCTGCTTCCTTATAGAACCCAGAACCACCAGCCCAGGGATGACATCATCCACACTGTGCTGGGCCCTCCCCCCATTGATCATTAATTGAGAAAATGCCTTACAGCTGGATTTAATGGAGGCATTTCCTCAACTAAGGCTCCTTTCCCTCTAATGACTCTTAGCATGTGTTGACACAAAACAAGCCAGTACAGCTGCTGGCCACTGTGGCAACTCATTCCTGGTTCCCTCAGACTGTGTCCAATCAGAGACGAAGTCTTCAACCTCAGTGACTTTTAACGATACCCAGATAAGCTTCCTGGGGCTGCCTGTAACATACTACGTCAAGCTTAGATTAACCCAAACATTACCTTGTAGCCTGTAATTCAAAAATTAAAAAAAAAAAAAAAGGATCTCACTGGCTAAACTGAGTTGTTGGCAGAGTTGCATGCAGTAATGCCAGAGACAGAAGGGCACAGGGCTTCATTCTTAGAAACACTTGATAGTTTTCTTACATTTCCTAGCTTCTAGAGGTCAATAGCATTCCTTGGCTACTGGCCTCCTTTCATCTTCCAGGCCAGTAATGACCAATGTAGTATTCCTTACATTGTTTCACTTTGCTGCCTCATTCTACCATTTAAAACCCTCATGATGCCACTGGGCTCACCTCAATAGTCCAAAATAACATTCACATTTAAAATTATCTGTCATCAAACCCACCTGCTACATCAATTCCCCATTACAGCAGGCTGTTCCACATTCCGACTGCACAGCCGGCCGTCTTTGGGGGAGCATGATCCTGCTTACTATGTCAAGCCAATGTGCAGTAAGGATAAGAACTGTTGCTATACTCATACAAGACAGGCGAGGGCAGTCACCCAGATAGCAAGTGAAGATGTGAGAGACTGGCACACTGAAGAACTGGTGTCGGTGAGGGATACGAGGCAATAGTCCACTTTAACTGTTTCACATGGCCACAGAACTTGTGTGGTGGAGACTATGGCAATCTCATCCTTCTGTGGGCTTTTCATGCACTTCTACAGGATCTCTTAGATCCAAGATGAAACTTTCCGGCTCACAGGTTAAATGTCTCCAAAATGTGTTGTGATTGGCCAACACTTTAACACACAACCCTCATACACATATGTGGAATTTATGGATCATCACAAAAAAAAAAACCTAGCCACACTGGGGACACCTTTCTGGCAATCTATACATGGCAACATCATTTGACTGACATTAATGCAAAAGAAATCGTTCTTTAGAGGGAAAGATGGGACGTATGGAAGTGACTCTATATACATAAAACCTTCTCTGCAGAAGCTGGCAAGTGTTCAAGGAGTCAGATGAAGGAATGAGTGAAAGGCTAGCAGCTGGAAAACATATTGGTCTTCAGTGGTGTGTAAATTTCCTTTGTATAGGAAACGAAGCTGAAAACTGACTCTTAGCTTTCAGTTGCTACAAAAATACTTGAGATGAACCAACTTGCAAGGAAGAAAGGTTTATTCGAGAGGCCCCAGGATACCAGTGGGCAGACCCCTTGTCCCTGGACCTGTGGTGAAGCAAGGCATCATGGAGGGGAAGGTACGATGGGATGAGCTCTTTGCTTGACAGCAGCCAAAAAGCAAAGAGAAAGGCCAGTGGCCAACAGCCCCTTCAAGGGCACACCAGTGACCCAATTTCCTTCTACAAAGCCTCTCCAAAAAGTCCCCTTCCAAAGGGGCCACAGGGGCTGGGGAGCCAGCTTTCAACATGTGACCTTTGGGCAGACACTGAAGATCCACAATGCCACAATGACCAACTGTAACTTCTTTGCTTGGACCTCCCTCAGCCTCCAGAAGCAGAGGTGACCAATCCTACTGTTTTTCCATAACCAGACTTTAAAAAAAAAAATTAAACCAATCACCTCAGGTTCTGCCCCCATCCTAAAAGGTGAGAATCAAGTAGAGCTGAGAGTGCAACCAAGAAAAACATGAGTTCTAAAAACACTGTGCATCATACTTCAGCCTCCAGCAGCCCCGGGGTTCAAGTCAGTTTGGACAGAAAGCAGAGAACTGCCTGGCCCCAGGGATCACACAATCTTCACAGTCTTCAGCATATCCGACAGGGCATACGTGTCATCCCAACCCTGACCAGGCTTCCTTAGGGTCCTCTCCAAAGCCTGAGCCCTTTCCAGGAGCTCTGGTGTAGCAAGTTTTTCTTCTGAATGCAGCTGACAAAAGAGGATCTCATTCACTTCGCCCTCAATTCGCCGGACATAGAGGAGAGGGAAGGCTGCCTTGAGTCCAGCCAGCACTGAGTCCTTCAACCCCAAGTCACGGCACACAAGGTTAAGGATAAAAATACCTGTGGAGTAGGAAGGAAAGAGTAGAATGACCACAAATGCAGAGACATGCATCGAGGAGAATACAGACTCCTGTAAAACAGGGAGGCTGGTGAATGAAGAAAACAAGGAGAGATCTTGCAGAGAACACTGAGCACACAAAGGCATAAAGACTGTAAAATATGTGAAGCCAAGAGCTGGAGAGATGGCTCAGCAGTTAAGAGCACTGTCTGCTCTTCCAAGGTCCTGAGTTGAATTCCTGGAAACCACAGGGTGGCTCACAAGCATCTATGTGATCTGATGCCCTCTTCTGGCATGCAGGTGTACATTCAGATAGAGCAATCATATACATTAAATACCTAAATAAATAAATAAATACCTTTTTTTAAAAATGAGAAAACTTAAGCCTAATATTTTGTTTTCCCATAGGATTCCTATCTTTTAATATTCTCCATGTCTAAGAAATCTTTTCATAAAAATTAATCCTTCCATAAAAGATAAATTTATCAATTCCACAAGGATGTTATATTCTAAGAAGGCCAAGGTTATCCTGACTTCTGGCAATCAAGATTCTAATCAACTCACTACACCGGGGCCTTTAAAAATGCAAAATACCCAGGGGGTTGAGGGCACAGGTTTCAAGTGACAAAGAGCTGAAGCTCCAATTCTGTCACCTTGGCAAGTCACTTGACCTAAGTTTCCTCATCAGTAACTGGGCCCCTGTGAATGTTACGTAGCACAGTGCCAAGTTCAGGGCATCCGGGAGCCATTCGAGTGGTAGCTACGTCACCAAGCTGTTTCCACGTGGGCTACTGCAACCACACTGTAAACTGGTCGGCACAATCTGCAAAAGCGGGTCATCTTCATACACCCGGAGCAGTGAAAGGAAGCAGACACGTTTAAGAACATTATGCGTATGATTCCGTCTACATCAGGGGCATAAATACAGCTATGGTGACAGTTTAATACTAACCCTTTAGAGGAAGTAGGATTACTGAGGAGATAAGAGGTGGACTTCCAGGATGCTGGAAACGGTCTGTTTGGTGCTGATAAAATCAGTTTGGGAAAACTAATCAAAGTACACATTTACATGTAACTGTTATTATAGACTAATTTCACTTTTTTTATTTTTTAATTGTGTGTATGTGGGGGTAGGAGGATATATGTTGATAGTGCAGGCACCCGGAGTCCAGAAAAGGGCCTTAGATTCCCTGAAGCTTGAATTAGAGCTGATGTGGGTACCAGGAACCTAATTTGAGGCATCTGCAGTAGCAGCAAACGCTTTTAACCTATGAGCTAACTTTCCAGCCCAAATACCTTGTTTCAAAGGACCCTTCTCTCTTTTGCCTCCAGTCTTTAGTGTTTCTTACCTTCATGAGACAGGATGCTTTTGACCTTCTGCAGAAAAAGTTCGTCCACAAATGCTGGGGGAGGACAACTCATTCCCAGGGTTGGATCCTTACTGTCTACATCAAACATTATCACATCATAGTGAGGTCGTGCTGGGAGAGAGAAGAAAGTGAGTCCTTGTCTTTGCAGGACAAGACGACATCATTTACATCATAGACACCTGCTCTAAAATCTGTTGCGAGCAACTAAGTCTGAAAGATGACATGAGTAGATGAATATCATGGCTTACACCAGTCTTTCACCTCAAAGTTCAAACTATCCAATAGCACAGATGAGATGGGCCGAATTCAGAAGTGCCTTCCAAAGGCAGATATTAACAGGTTCATTCCAGCATGAGCGATACATGCTATGCATGTGGTTTTTAATGTTGGACGAAATGAGCATCACCTTGGGAAGTTTCTACATCCTTGGCGAATGTGGGCTGCACTCCCAGCCAGGTCAAAACCCCAGGGCGGCGGCAAGAAGATATGGGAGCTGGGAAGCAGGAAGCCTATGGTGTATTTTCCCAGCTCCCCAGGCAATTCTAAAAGGAAGCTAAAACTAAGAGCAGGCCACCTAGCCAAGGCAGCGAACGAACGAGGCCTTGAAGGGCTGAGCGGACATACAGTAACTGTAAGCAGCAACACTGGGATCCCATGGGCAGAGCAGGAGACCTATGGAGCCCAGTGTTAAACAGAAAAAGTGATGTGCACGTCATCCTGCGTCGAAGGTGCAAAGAGAAGAAAGCCCTGCAGCAGCCTTCTACAGCCTCGCCAGCCTGACAGAAAAACGTACTGTCATCAGTGATACTAACCGTATCTAAAATTTGTGACAACCAAAACCATCTTGGCGGACCCTGCCAAATGCTCCTGAAGCTGGGAATCACTGACTTATGTGAATGCAGTTTCACTCTATTGCTGATTTCACCTACAGCTGAATTTGTTTAAAAAAAAAAACTCAACATATCCCCCATCTTTTCTTCTCACCAGCAACAGACCCCAGTTGGCAGGAAGTGGCAAGGTGACAAGGTCACAAGGGAGGACCACTGGTCTGTTGGATTAGTGGCCACGCCCCAGCAAAGCTGAATCCACAGCCAAATGAGCACACAGGAGAAACACTGACAGCACATGGATGGCCCTTCACAGAGATGAACTCTAGCGACCCTGCAGGCCTGGCAACCTCAGACTAACGTTCTGTAACTAACACTCCTCTGAATGCCCTCACAGGGGTACCTTCTCCTCCTGCCAGGCTGGTAATGTAGTCCAGGCCATCTGCAATGTGAACCTTCATCCGGTCACTCTGTGAGAAGCCAAACCACTGGGTAGCCACTTCCAACATGGAGGGGTCGATCTCAACAGCATCGATGCGGGACTTTGGGAAGTGATCGTGAATGAAGAGGGGGAGGCTACCTCCACCCAGGCCCACCACCAACAGTGTCAGTGGAGTCTCTGTAATAGACAGAGAATTTCATTTTGTGATCTGCTTACCGGAAAGTTCTGTACAGGGAGAATGAAAAAGGGAGTTAAAACTCTGTTCTGCCCAATGATAAACATTTTAAGGACCTAGGCCCACTCCCACCCCCTTCCTACAAATTGAGAAGTCCCCAGACATTTGATCTTTCAGCCTTGGCTTCATTTTGACTAGGTCCAGACAATGAAGCATGTGCTACATCATGGTCCCTTATAAAGGCCAATGTGATTGGGTGACATGCTCCCAAGAGTTCCTCAAGAGTTACTGGATATACTCCCACCCTAGGAAATAGAGGCACAATCTTATTCATTGCCGCAAAGTAGTATGAACGCAACATTTTTCACCCAGTTCCTAACTCAAAGGGCCATAACTACGTTTTCAGACACCCCAACGAAGTAAGCACAATCCATTCAAGTTTTTTAAAGCACCGAAAAACAGACACTGTTGGAAGGGGATGTTAGTGGTCCTCAAGATCTGGGTACACCAATCCTTGTTGTATAAACCTACCTGATTGGCTGATTAAATGACCTGTACCTGGGCAGGGCAGAACGGGGTAGGAGTGGCTAAGGATCCCAGGATTTAGAGGACAGGAGAATCACAGGAAACAGTCAGACAGGAAGAGAAGGAGGACCCTTGATGGGTTAGGTGGAGCTGAAACCATGTGGGAACGGAGGAAGGACTCTGAGGATGCCGCAGAATGAAAAAAATATCCAGATAAAAAAAAAATACAAGCAAGAATTTATAAGATTATAGATGGAAGGCAGTCCAGACAAAGATGGTTAAGGAGGATGGCATTGGCTGGGGGCTGGGAGATGGATGGTGAGGTCATTGAGATAGCATAGGTGAGATATCTGCCCGGGCCAAGGTAAATAAGGCAATTATAAAATCTAACAGGTTGTCTGTGTCTTATTATTTGTGATAGTGTGTTAGATAATACCACTGTGATATTCTTAGGGCTAATAATAAACATTATATAGCCCAACACTCATTTTTTTAATTTTCTACAACAAAAGACCCAAATCCAAGTCCTAAGCACAAATAACCACAGTAGCCACAAGAGTTCTAAAGGAAGAAACAATCAAACAAACGAATATGCAAACAACTAAAAACGCCAGACCCGAGATTAAATACAGCATGGTTATGGACTTCATGTGAAGACACTTGTGAGTGAACCCATCAAGTTTCATATTCACAACATAAAGTTATCATTTTAGCTATAACTAAGAATTATATTTTGGGCTGGAAAAATGGCTCAGAGGTTAAGAAAACAGGCTGTACTACCAAACGTCCTGAGTTCAATACCCAGCAACCACATGGTGGCTCATAACCATCTAAAATGAGATCTGGTGCCCTCTTCTGGCATGCAGGCATACATACAGGTAAAATACTGTATAAATAATAACTAAATAAAATATTTAAAAAAAAAAGAATTATATTTTGAGCCAGGCAGAGTTGGCACAGACCTTTAATCTCAGCACTCGGGAGGCAGAGGTATATAAATCTCTATGAATTCGAGGTCAACCTTGTCTACAAAATGAGTTCTACGACAGCCAGGGCTATGTAAAGAAACCCTATCTCAAAACTCCAAAAAAATAAAAATTGTATTTTACGCTCAAGTATGGCATTACCGAAAAGCCATACATTACCTAAAGGTAGTGGAAATGGGATAAATGCACCATCCAGTTAACATGATTATGTACACATATGAAAACTTATAAATAACAAAATGTTATGGATAACTTAAAATCTGCGTGCTTCACACACCTTACTGATTATATTTTACACCTTAATTTTAAAGGCAAAATGAACAGAAGGAAAACATGACTTATAACCCAACACAGACGGCTATCTCAAGATGGCAGGCTGTTTGAGGCAAGTAACCAGTAGCTCATTCACGTTGAGATGAGGGAAGCTAGGAACCTATGGGTATCTGCCAGTCTGCAGTAACTGCGATGTGGCAACATGCTCCTCCTCCCTGCAGGCTTCCACACTGACCATGGGAAGCAGGGGCAGCTCTTACCTAGGAGCAGCTCTGGATTTCTCAGCAGGGCCAGGCCAGCAATCATGGCTTTATGGTGTTCACAGCAGAGGTAACTTTTATCAATGGACTGCCCTGGGGCAGGGGGGAAGTCCTCGGAAGTACCGGCAGGTCGCTGTTTCTTCTTGTCCTTTTTCCGTTTCTTCTGGGCTAAATGAGAGAGTGACACTACTGAAATCCTAGCTTCTTATGCTAGTCCTTGGAAATCAAGGGATACCAGCAGCAGGGTGCTGCAGCAGCTTTAAACAGATTGAGAGAGCCAGCAGTTAAACGAGCAGGTTGGTTGATATCATATAGGCAGGCTGAAATTGGCCACTGGGGGGATATTTATATCATAGAAATTGGCAAATTCTACAAATCAGACCTCCCCACAAAGACAGAGTTGTTTTAAAAATCACAATACAGCACTGTATATGAAGGGGCCAGAAAAGGTACATAGCAAAGGTGCATTCAAAACCTGGAAATATTAGCTATGGGGCCTTAAGGCCCTCCCCCTGAGGGTGTAAGACCAAACAGAAGGAGAGTTGACTCGGTATTCTTTTACAGAAATGTAAAGCCATTGTTACCTCCTCACCACCAATTATTACCTGACACGTTAGCACCTCTCATAACTGTTTACAACTCTTTGTCTGTGAAAAAAAACTGAGCATCTCAGGTATTCAGTGAAGTACACAGTTAACGGGTGGTGCAGGTAAAACATGAACGTAGGACTGCTCGTCCCCGTGTCCATCATCTTCCCACTATGCAGTACACGGTCCCATCGGTAAGGAAATCAGAGGTAGAAAGCCTATAAAAGACCCCTCCACTTTCTCTATTCCCTCAATGCCGTGCTAAATGGATGGCTCTAAACTGCCACAGGAATCTGCATTTCACAGAAGCATCAGAACTGATAGGTAGCCAGGAGGTACTTGTCAGAGATGTTAATCTCTTTCTTCTGAGTAAATTGCTACTTTTTGGTCATCCATACTTCCTTGATGGAGACTACTTATCCCATGGGAAGAAAAGTTTATCAAGAAGGCAAGAAACTTGAAAATGCCAGGCAGTGATGGTACAAGCCTTTAACCCCAGCACTCAGGAGGCAGAGGCAGGTGGGTTTCTGAGTTTGAGGCTAGCCTGGTCTACTGGGAGACTAACAGCCAGGACTATACAGAGAAAGCCTATTTTAAAAACGAAAAGGAAGGAAGGGAGGGAGGGGAAGAAGCAAGCTAACTTGACAATGTTAAAGAATCTGAAACTCACTGAAAAGAACCCAGTTTTCTCTTGGGCAATCTGACTAAGGTGTGGGATGAACTAACAGCAAAGCCAGAATCACGGAATGAGAGGTGGGAGGCCGCATGCAAGAAGGAGGCTCCAGGGACAAAGTCATTCTGAGAACACTGGGTAAGGGTGAATCTGTAATCTCAGGAGTCTGACTTCTCCTCTCATCTTCCAGACTTGCTTTCAGGACAGGATGGTCAAGCTAAAGCAATGACTGGGAATCGGGACGCCCAATTTCAGATTTCTCTGTGGCCAAAGGGAAGTTATACTGGAGAAAAGGACAGGAACATTTACTTTTTAACCTAATTTTATTTTTTTTCCGGATATCTCATTCTGTGGTCCTGTCTGGCCTGAAAATTGCTTTGTTGTCCAAGCTGGCCTGCACTCGTCCTCTGCCTTCTGGGTACTAGGACCAGCGCAACGCACCACCAAGTCCAGCCTTAGTTTTTACTCTAAATGTGTGATTTTTAAACTGGTCACAATAATAGAAACATGTACAGCCAGGGTGCAGGGGTAGGTAAAACAAACTAGTGATTTGCCTATCAGTGAGATTACTATGTTAACACCTTAGACCTCAGTGGTTAAGAACACTGGCTGCTTTTATAGAGGAACAGAGGTCAGGTCCCAGCACTCAGGCCAGGCAGCTCAGAGCTGCCAGTAATTCTAACTCCAGAGGATCTAATGCTTTCTTCAGGCCTCCACAGGCACCTGAATCATGTGCACACACATACATCTTTTTTTTTTTTTAAGTAAAAATTAAATAAATCTCAAAAAAGAAAATGAGGGAAGTTAAAAGTTTTCTCTCAATCTCACTGGTCAACACTGTAAACATTAGACAGCTATGGCCAGATTAATTAAAATATAAATATATTACTTTAAATTAAAATTCAATCATGCCTGTAATCCCAGCTCAGGAGATGGAGGCAGGACTGCTGAAAGTTCAGAAACCTAAAGAGTGAGACTATCTTAAAAATGAATTAGATAAGTAAGTAAAAATCAAGTTTTAAAAGACATCAGTCACAGCAACTGTATCCCGTGTGCTCTGCAGCATTTATAGCTAGGGGCCACCATACTGGAATGGAAAGCCAGAGACTAAGTATTTTCTTCATCGTACACGGCTCCACTGAACAGTGCTGGACTAGACAGATGGCAGCTAAGGCACCCAAGTCTAAATCCCTCTGAAGCGGGAAAGTGCTGGGTACAATCGAGCAGAGGGCAGGGCTCCATGCCCTCTTCATGTTTCTGGCTTACCTTACAGGGGCACATATGTACAATGAATGATACATATGTAGCAGCTTATAAAACAGATTCCCTTTTCAACTGAGGCACTAAAGACATCATCAAGCTTTCCTCTCCTTATCATTTCAGAGCTAGGCTTTGCTCAAGATGTGAACAAATATTTCTATTTGCTTATCTCCACTAGCACCCTGCCAGATGGTGAGAAAGGAGAGCCCAAACAGTGCTGTGCTCCTGTCACAGAGATCCAGGTCTCTCCTCATCTTGGTCAAGCTCTTTCTGAGCACTCTAAAATCTATCCACACCCAGCTAGGTCCCAGGACCCCATCGGTGACACCTCACCTCTGTGAGACACGTCCTTCAGCAGCCTGGCTTCCGATTGCACCACGTTCCTGTTGCTGAGGAAGATGAGCCGCCGGAAGTACCGCCTGTCTTCCCCTTGCACATCCTCAATAACATACTCACCACTCAAGGCACTGTGGTCTTGGTGTTTAACAGTCCGGACCCCAATGTCCCCACCCACAGACAGGAAGGGCACCTAAAGAAGCAGAAAGAGATGTGACAAAAACATCAGCTTGGTTAACAATTATGTGATGCTATATACTCATGTGGGCATGAGGACTTCCCCATGCCAACAACAACAGCTCCAAAGACTTGCTTTCTACTCCAGTGCTCTTCTGGGCCTTTGGCTAGAGCTCAAGAGGTTCGCTCCACTTTAGAAACTCACAGAGATGAACACACAGAGATCCCCTAACCACTAGAGACACACACTTGGTGCTGCCCAAGAAAGATGTAAGATTCTCATCAGTAATCACAGCCAGGACAATAGTGAAGGAGACAGAACCTCCAGGAAGGGGCTGTAATGTGTGAGAAGGAATCTGGACAAGAACAGAAATAACAAAAGCTCAAGGGAAATAACAACCCTTCCTTTCTCCAACTCGGTCCCATCTTTTGCCCCTTTTCTGTATCTCAGGAGAAGCGTGTCTTTCCCCCCTAAACTCCCATCTTGACTTCTGTTTCTTATAGACCTTATCAGCATATTTTCTAACTGCCAGTAATCCCTGTCCTTGTAGATGTAGTGATGACAGAAGCTCTCTAGAGAGTCTGGGCCTTCGTGAAATAAATATCTTTAATTAATAACAATCCCAGAGTCTACCAGAAGAATCAGTTATCATCAACATGGGTCAGCCTAGTGAGCAGGACCATAGGCTAGGAACCCAAGAACCAGGACTTGATTACTTTAGAGCCGTCACTATAACACCGACCGCCCGGAGCCTTGTTCTTAGCCCAGTTCCTACAACAGACCTGTCACTCATGGTGACAAATGACATGAGACCCTAGGTAACTGGCAATACCATTTCTTGGCCTAACCTTCAGTTTCCTTTCCAGCCATGTTAACATCCTGAAATGAATTCTTGCTTATATTTTTGAGATGTGAAACAACCAGGGAAGTCCATTTTAAATTAGGGGAGGCGGGGCTGGAGAGATGGTTCAGTGGTTACGAGCACTGGCTGCTCTTCTGCAAAGTCCTGGCCTCAGTTCCCAGTACCCACGTGGCAGTGCACAACTGTCTGTAAGTGTGGTCCCATGGGATCTGATGTTGTCTTCTGGTGTGCAGACATACATTCAGAGGAAAGACCCTTACACATAATTTTTTTTTTTTTTTTAATGTGAAAAGGAAAAAAAAAAACACAGGTCCCTGACTTGGATGCCGTGGTAGTCTGGCTTTTTTGCTTTCTGTGTGTGTGTTTGTGTGTGTGTGTGTGTGTGTGTGTGTGTGTGTGTGTGTGTGTGAACGTGCACGTGCACGTGCCTTGTATACAACAGACAGGGATTCTACTCCACCGCTGATCTACATCCTCGACCCCTGGAGCGGCTCACCTTTCTCTGCCTGGGTACATTTAACACTCACCTGCCAGTGACTCTCAAGGCTATGGTCAGATTCTAGTCCTAAGTTCTTTTTTAATTTTTGTAATATTTTTTATTATTATTTTTTTATGTGCACTGGTGTATTGTCTGCATGTTTATCTGTGTGAGGGTGTCAGATCTCCTGGAACTAGAGTTATAGTTATGAGCTGCCGTGTGGGTGCTGGGACTTGAACCCATGTCCTCTAGAAGAGCAGCCAGTGCTCGTAACCATAGAGCCGTCTCTCCAGCCCCTTAATTAATTTTTTTAAGTTAGTGTACAAAGTAATGGGTTTCATCATGGCTTCTTTATGCATCTGTCATTATCCTTTGTTCTCACTGGCTCCCGTCCCTGGTCCTAGCCCATGTAAGGGTCCTTCTGCCTTCCCACTGCCAGTGGGACTCCAGTTTTGGTACCTGCTGCTGGGGAGGCATCCCGGTGGGGGCCAGCTCCATCACCCTGGTGGACAGCTCTGCTTGGATGCTTTCCATGCTGTCATACTGCTGGCCTCGATGAAGAGCCACTGTGACCAACCTCCTGAAGCCGGCACTGGCTGCCAGCTGCTTCCGGCCCTCCTCCATGCCAAACAGCCACTCAGTCTCTCGACCCTGGGGGACTGGAACAGACAAAGTTGGTTACAGGGAGTGCTGGGATGAAATGCCCAAGCCCCATAATCAATGTGTCCACACAGTGGAGCCAGTCAAGGCTCGGGACCAGCTTCCTTCCTGTGAGCCACTGAGAGCTTAGCGAGTCCCAAAGCAGAGCAGCCCATCAATGGTGAAGCAGGACTCAGGGTCATTGGAGTGTGGTTATGTCTGAAGGGGAGGGAGACGGGCAAATAGTACAAAGCAAACAAACAAACAAACAAAACCAGGAATAATAACGCTGTTCCTTCTACTGCAGGCCTGATTCAAGCTGCTTGAAAATACAAACAATGGAGTCCTCACAACAGCCCGAGATGAACATGGCATCATTTCCATTTTCACAATCGAGGAAAGAGAAGCACAGAGCTGAAATCATTCGTCTAAGTTCCTACTGTTGGTGAATGCAAAGCTCAGGCTCAAACTCAGACAGTGTGGCCCGTTGCCGCGCTCCTGTCCACTCCAGTGCTCATCCCCACAGGTGGGCAGCATGGATTAGGAAATACTCGGAAGTACGGCTCAGTCCTCAAGAAGCCAGGGTTCCAACACAACCACAGCTTGCCTCCATTAAGAACGTTCACATTTTCTTCACTTCAGCTCTTTTCACCCCTCCGTCCCTCTGGCACCTTCGCTCCTTTGCCCAGCGCCAGCTGACATGCACACAGCACTTATCACATGACAAGCACCATTTTACACTCCCCAACTACACAAGAGAGTTATAGTTCCACTTTACAGGAAAGATAAGGCACGTGGGGAAAAGCAACTTTTCCAGCGTCCTAGCACCAGCAAGTGCCTAAGCTAAGACTGGAATCCAAAGACTTGTGGAGCTCAATCCCTAAGCTGCTCCCTTGTGCTGCCTCCTTCAAGTCTGCAGAGTGGCTTCCTTCTGCAGTCCAACAGCACACGTGACGGGTAGAACTCGGCCACCGTATGTCAGCTGGCACCGACCAGCCCAGCCTTGCACCCATCAATCCACATTCACTGAGGAAGCAACAGTTCTATAGTCAATGTGAAATGGGTCCAGATGTGCACTTCCCACTACCTCCTGCCTAACACATCCATTCTCAAACTTCCTCAAGACTTTCTAATGGACTAGGAAGAACAAGCTCAAGTTTAAAAAGGTGGCCGGAGAGCTATCACTGTCTTTTCACCATCCCTTGGCTGCTGAGGAAGCCCTAACCTTCCGAAGATAAAGAACAGCCACGACATACCCCATCAGCAGTACCCAAGCCCGGCCCGAGCCCCAGCAAGCCACCCCTTCCAGGGAAAGAGGTGGAGCAATCCCAACTCACTGATGAAAATGGCAAAATGACTGTCCCGCGATGGTTTCACAGCGGGGTTGTCCACCACATGGAGGGTGTAGCGTGGCTCCCCAGTGTCCCCACTGCACAAGTCCAGAGACACACTCCCCAGCCGGGCCTTGCGGCGCAGCTGGCTGCACAGCCAGGCATAGTGCTGCCGCTCCCTCACAGCCTCGGCCAGCCGATCGGCACTCTCCAGTCGGACAGGCTTGCCCTGCTCCTGAGTGCACAGCTCAAAGATCTGAAGGGCAGAGCCAGGGACTGGCCTGAACTTGGTCATGACGAAGGCAAAGACAGGCAGGGAGAACTGAGGCTCTGCTTCAAACACCTGCTCCCGGCTGCTGGCCACTTCGTGTACCCTCACCATCCACCCCTCCCGAGAGAAGTGACCCACTGCTTTCTTCAGGATGTGAGCCTGAGCCAGGGAGATGCAGAGGTAGCGACCGCCCACCTGCAGGACACGGCCAACCTCAGCCAGCATCCTGTCCACCTGCTGCAGGGTCTTCTCCTCCTCGTCCGTCAGGATGGCGTCCAGTGTGCCCTTGTCCAACACCACCTGGAATGCAGCGTCAGGAAACTCCATCTGTGTCATGTCCATCTTCAGGAAACTCATGTGGGGCCGCCGGCCGGCATTGCGTTCGTTCATTTGCTTGATGACAACCTCGCTGATGTCAATATTCACTATATCCTGATAGCCCACGTCATACAGTTGTTCACTTAGCTCGGAGTTGCCACATCCAATGACAAGCACCTGGAGAACGAAAGCCATGTACAGGATGGGAGTGACACCGAGGCAAAGAAATGCTCTTCGGGTACTGCGAAGAGGAAAGTCTCACTTTGGCTATTTCATATCCTCAAAAGACAGAGATCCAACTGTGAGGAGAAAGCAACACTCCAATAAACACTCCAGGTACCATCCTGAAACTACCAAGGCAGGCATGTACAATTCACCACACAGCACAGCACAACTGCCTATAACTGCACTTCCAGGGACTCTGACAGCCTCTTTTGGCCTCCGCAGGCTCCTGTACTCACACGATGAACATAAGCTCATGAAGGCAAACACACATATGCATAATAAAATAAGTAAATCTTTTTTTTAAAGTTTGTCAGAAGTTGCAAAATCCAAAACACCAGTTGTGATCCCGTTCTTACTGTTAAAAATGTAGCCTGACATAACTAGTTCCATCCACTCACGTTTCTTCTTGCCACAGACAACGAACTACGGTTCGTGAGGATTCAAAATCCGCTCTCCTCACAGATTCCATCTCATGACATTTTTAGCTACTTTTCAGAAGTAGCTAAACTGAAAACCCAAATTGTTGTCTCTTTGTGGCATACTCTCCCATTCATCCTTCAAAAATTCTGTTGTCACCCTCTCTTCGAAGGAAAAGCATAGTTCCCCGAGAAGTGAATAAACTTTGGGGCCTGACAGACCTGCTTTTCAATCTCCGTGTGACCATCCACTCACTACATGTGTGACCTCCAATACTCACCTGTAAGGATAAGTGCACAACCACCCTCCTCAGTGCACAACTAACTACCCTCCAAGATTTGCTGAGAATTAAAAAAAAAAAAACCTTCACAAAACAGATGTTAAGTTTGCTTCCCTACCGCCAATACAACCCCATCTGGTCTACACCTACTGTTTAACCTGGAACTCTTCACTTTCAGGGTGTGCGAAGTTTATTCCTTCCTGTTCCTGTACACAAGTCCTGATATCTGACGAGCACTCAGCAGTGACTTTATAAACAGTCCCCACAGCGCTGCCTATCCCACACTTGGGCGCACTGACAAGGGGCACCCTCTCAGACTACTTCCAAATGGGGTTTACGTCCAGGACGAGCTTTAAACTGAAATATTTAAAAGGCTATTTTAAACTTGTCATTTAGCCAAAACTGTGGATCCGAGGAGGGTCCCCACGCTGCCTGCCTAAATTTGGGGCTGCTATCTTCAGTCCCCAGAGAGGGCTGCCTGGCCGCAGCACGCCTTACCTTTTCCCTGGGTTTGATGTACTTGTGCAGCACCTCGCACAGCTTCAGGTAGGTCCCATACCACTCGAACGCTTTCTTTCCTCGCTGCTGGAAGAACTTCTCCCAGTAGTCAACAGAGGCAAACTCCTTGGAGCTTTTAGGTAAGAGATTCATATTGCCACAGCGAGCTGCGACTCCGAGACTACTCCGGGTGACAGGTCACCCCGGGACACACCGGGATGCGGCAGCGGGAACCTTGGCCACTCCACACAGCACCGACTCCTTCCGCACCCAAAACCCAACCCAACGCCCCTGTGCAGGGGACGCACGAGCGTACCGCTGACCTAACCACGCGCCACCGCCTTCTTTGCACCCTAAGCCCGCACCCCACGTGCGGCAGCCCCACACTCTTGGCTGTTACTCTCAAAAACATCAACCATATCCGGGTAAGAGGTCTAGTGATTGGTCAGGCGCCGAAGCAGCTCCGCAGCTCATTGGGCACGGAGTCTCACTTCTGGCACCTCATTGGCTGGGACTCTCCTGACTCCCGGGCTTGATCGTAGGCGCCGTGCGCTTTACCCAAGCCAGGTGGGGTGGGCGGGACTTCCTGCCAGACTCCGGGCGGAAGAGGCCGACGGCCGGCGTCGGGAGCGGCTCTGCGCAGCCTCTGGGCGTCGGTGCGCTCTCGCCGGCGGAGGGCGCTCGGGCATTGGGCGCTCGCCCGGCCGCTGTTGAATGGCGGGTAATGTGCGCCGGAGCAGCAGGCTCAGAAGGAAGTCGCTGTTGTTCGGGAGGATGTGGGGCTTGGGGTGCATGTGACTTTCTGTCCTCGCAGACCCGCACAGTGCAACGCTCTTCCCTTCCTCGTCTCCTCTCCCCGCGCTTACTTTGCCACGGTTCTTGATTAATTCAGAGGGAAGTGACTACTTTTTCTGCTCCAAAATACAGGGTTCCGCTGTCGATACAAGGTCAAATTTCAGGTGCAAAGACTTAATCATCAAAAATTCAGAGGTGCCTCCCTTTCCCCTTCCCTCACCCCTCAAAACACAGTAGCTATACTGAAGATATTCATTTTATGATCGGCTTCCTTACTTTGTCATTCTGATGGTAACTTAAAGGCATATTTTATGTGTCTGATGAACATACCTTTTTTTTTTTTTTTTTTTTGGTTTTGTTTTGGTTTTTGAGACAGGGTTTCTCTGTGTAGTCCTGGCTGTCTGGACTCCCTCTGTAGACCAGGCTGGCCTCAAACGCAAATATACCATCCTTGTAAATGTTCCTTTTTTGAAAGTATCCCAATGAAGTTAGTTCCTGGTGCAGGGCTGTTCTGAAAAGACAATTAAAGAAACAGCCCTCACAAAAAAGGAATAAGAGAGGTGATTTATTTTGGAGCCAAATATGAGTGAACAAATATGAGTAGCCCAGGAACACAGATTAGGTTCCTCAAATACAGTGTTCCTGTGAGGTAGCAATTGCATGAACTTTTTATGCTAACAACACAGAAAGTAGTGAAATAGCACACTTCCAAATACATTGGTGAGTATGTTGTGTGGTGGTTGAGTTACAATAAAGCAGGAAGAGTAGAGGGCTGTTGATACTTTCCCAAAGTCTTAACATAATGATCACAAAAGATGTTAAGTCTCCTACAGAGGAGGACACCAAATAGCTATTAAAGGGGCTAAAGATGTCCTAAGATAATGTGGCTCTGGACTTGCAGCATTTCAACCTCTTCACATCATTGAAGTTGCAATCAATGAGCCTTTGAGGACACAGCTTCTTTCCAGGAATTCTTTTTCACAGCCTACACACAGTGCTAGCACAAACACTGAACAGTTAGATTAGATATAATCTTTAATCTTCAAACATTTCAGAATCATCTATTGGCCTTTTTATTAAAAAAAAATTTCATAGGATAGATTCTGATCATGGCTTCCCCTCTGCCAGCTCCTCCCCATCTCCTCAACTCCATGACCTTTCTAAATAAAACACACAGAATTTTTTAAAAAAAAATAAACAAATGGAAAAACACAAGAAACATGCACACACAAACATGCCATCAAAACACAAGATTAAAAACCATAATATACAGGCAAAAGACTAATAAGCAAAAATGCCCAAACAAAGCAATATGAGACAAAAAGTCTACAAAAGTACCCTTGAGTTTGTTTTGTGTTGACCATCTATTGCTGGGCATAGGGCCTAAACATTAAGTATGGTTAACATACCAAATGAGAAGCCATTGGTGATAATTAATTTTTCCTTTGCAAGCTGGTATCAGTTGTAGATAATCTCTTGGTTAGGTAGGGATGCCAGTGTCCAATTCTGCCTCTCAGGGCTGGACTTCCATGTGGCTTAGACCTGTTCAGGCTCTGTGTATACTGCTACAGTCTCTGTGAGCGCATTCATATTTGGATCAGTTTTATTGTGTCTGGAAGATACTGTTTCCCTGGGGTTGTCTATCCTCTCTGGCCTTAGACATTGTTTGCCTACTCTTCAACATAGCTCCCTGAGTCCTGAGGGGTAGAGTTTGATGAAGTCATTCATTTAGGACTCCAGTGTTGGTCTTAGAATTTTATTGCTGTTAAGAGACACCATGACCATACCAACACTTATAAAAGAAAACATTTAATTGGGACTGGCTTACAGTTTAGACATTTACTCCATTACTGTCATGGCAGGAAACGTCATCATGCATGCAGACATGGTGCTAGAGAGGTAGCTGAGAGTTCTACATCTGGATCTGAAGACAGCAGGAGACTGTGTGCCACACTGGGTATGGCCAGAACATAAGAGACCTCAAAGCCTACCCCACACAGTGACACACTTCCTCCAATTAAGCCACACCTCCTAATAGTGCTCTTTCCATGGGCCAATCGTTCAAACACATGAATCTATGGGAACCACTCCTGTTCAAACTACTTCAGTGTCCAAAATCTCTGAGTCTTTGCACATTGTCCAGTTGTGGGTCTCTGTGTTAATTCCCATTTACTGTCAGAGGAAAACTCTGGTGGTGGCTGAGTAAGGCACTGATGTGTTGCTGTGAAGAGACATCATGGCCACAGCAACTCTTATAAAGGAAAACATGTAATGTGTACTGGCTTACAGTTTAGAGGTTTAGTCTATTATTACTATGGCAAGAAACATGTTGGCATGCAGGCAGACATGATTATAGCCAAATGTCTTTTTTTTTTAAACTTTATTTAGTTGTTCACTTTATATCCCAATCATTTTCCCTATCCTCTTCTCCTGCCCCCAGCCTCTTCCCCCCTCCTCCCTCTCCTACCCCTCAGGAAAGGTGGGGATACTAACCCAGCCCAGCACTTTAAGTCACCTCAGAACTGAGCACATCCTCTTCCACAGTAGCCTGGTAAGGCAGCCCCACAAGAGGGAAGTGATCAAAAAGCATGCAACAGAGTCCATGTCAGAAACAGCCTCTATTCCCCTTACTAAGGGACTCAAAAGAAGAGCAAGTTGCCCATTAGGTATATAAGTGTAGAGGGCCTAGATTCAGTCCATGCATAGTCCTTGGTTGATGCTTCAGTCTCTGCAGGACCCACTGGGCTGAAGTTAATTGGCTCTGTTGATCTTCTTGTGAAGCTCCTGTCCACTCTGGATCCTTATATCCCTCCTTCCCACTCTTCCACAAGGCTCCCTGCACTCCACAAGCAGATATTAACTGATAGAACCAGGCGTGACTCCTCCCAACACACCCCAAAAGCCACCAGTCCCAGGAACTAGGCCATAGGTCATCAATTCTAGAAAGAAGACAAGTCCCCTACCCAAGGAATAGCATGAAGAAAACCCAGTAATATTTAACCATCACCAGTAGCAACAGCTAATCAGTGAATGCCTGAAGTTTACCCAGGTGTTCTTTACAATAGGATGAGTAAAACAATTAGTGTGGCTTGGCCCTCCAGACAAACAATTTCCTCTGGACACCTGATATTTGCTAAATGTCAATTGCGAGCTGGAATTCCCTAAACTTTGGTGTAACCCTAAATATAAGCCCTCCTCCCCCTGAGCTTGGGGCTCTACATTCAACTGCTGCTTAGGTGATGGTATGGGCCTGAGCTCGAGCTTGTAATAAAAAGACACTATGGTGTTTGCAACAGAATCTGGTCCTTGGTGGTCTTTGGGGTCCACAAGACTTGGACATAACATAACCATATAGCACAGGATAACCATACTACAATTCACAGACCCAAGGAAGCTAACTAACAAGGAGGGCGCAAGTGAGGATGCTAGAATTTCACTCAGAAGGGGAAATAGAATAGGGAGCAGAGTAGTTGAAGACACAGAACAAGATAAGAGAGAGAGTACAGAGGGAAACAAGAGTGGGAGCAGATATGGTGAGAGTGGGGTCAGAAGAACATAAAGCTTGCAGAGAGAAGAGAAACTGTGGGAGGGGGCATTTCTGAGACAAGCTGAAAACCTACAACAGGGTAGGCTACAGGGAAGATATGAGGGTAACTCTCACTGAGCCCCCTAGTAGTAGGACTCATGGAAACTGAAGAGGCCACCCTCTTAACTAGACAGGACACCTAGTAGAAGGAGATAAAATAATCCACCCACAAAAACTTCAACCCAAAATTTACCCTAAAGATAGAGCAGAGATGGAGGGAATGTTCAACCAATCCCTGACACAAGCTGAGACCCACCCCATGGGAGAGCGCCAACCCCTGACACTAGCAACAGTGCTCTGCTATGCTTACAGACAGGAACTTAGCATAGCTGTCTTCTCAGAGGCTCCACCCAGCAATGTCTTTAAAAGTCATTCCATTGCTTTTCCCTTAAGACAACAATGGTATTTGGTTTTCCCTTAGGTCTATGACCTATCTAGTCTAAGGTTCATTGCCACTAGCAGTGTCAGGTATGTGTTTCACCTCATTGACTGGGCCTTAAATCTAATCATAGAGTGGCTGGTTACTCCCACAACATTTGTGCACTAGCATATCAGGTCACCGCTATAGGTTGTAGGGTTTATAGCTGGGTTGATGGTCACCTTCCTCCTCTAGCAACATGCAGAGTACCTTCCAGTACCACAAACACTAGTCAGTAGAGGATGAAGTCCTATAGTACTTCTTAAAACGATTGATGTGTTGCCCCACCTTTGGCCCCCAGCCAAGTTTTGATTCTTTAGTTCAGCAGACCCAGAAATTGATGTTTCTAACAAGTTGCTAATCGATGCTTTATAACAGGACTACTAGACCCGCCAGCTAGATGGCTGGTGCAGGGGCTTATTAATATTTTAAAGCTTAGTCGTTTTAGCTGGGCGGACTCTCGGTAACTCTAACCCTATCCCAGCTAACCCTCACACTTTGTCCCATATGTTGCCAGCTCTACCTCTCTGCTCCTGTTCACTCACGTCCATCTGTTCCTCTCTGCATCCAATGGCAAATATCTCACCTCTGATTTCTTCTTTTT